TTCTTTTTTTTTTTTCTCCGTTCGTTTTCTTTTTTTTTTTTTTTTCCTTTTTTTTTTTTTCCTTTACTTACATTAAATACATCGGTAAATCAGCAGCTGAGTTCTGTTACCATGATTCGTTATTTAAATGCGATGGAGGAGCTTCCTCAAAGCAACAACAAAAAAAAAAGGGAAAAATAAAACAACCGAACGAAAAAAAAAAAAACGAACAGCGGAGACAGAGGGAAAACGAAGAGGGTCGGGAAAGCTGCAGCGTCCCCCCTCGCTCCCGGGGGGGCCGTGAAGGGGGGGAAGCAGAGCCGGGGTTTGCCTCACAGCCCCGATCTGCTCAGCCCACACCGCGGGGCGGCACGCGGGACCCCCCCGCCCCCAGCAGAGGGGGGACGACCCACGCAAAAGGGGTCCAGGGGAGCCCAGGCTGCTGGGTGCAGGGAGAGGGCAACGGCCTCGGGGCTGCAGCGCAGGGCACGGCGCCTGGCAGCAGCCCAAGGGATCCGAGTTCCATCCGGGAAGAGGAGAAAGGAACGAACTCCTTCACCTCCCTCCTCTGCTCCCAACCTCCAGAGCAAACAGGAGCTGAAGGAAAAGCCCAAGTCGAGTGCCAACCAAAGGCAGGAGGAGGAATGGGGACAAAGTGGGAGCGGGGCTCTGCTACGCCCTGGGATCAGCAGGAGGACGCTGCTGCCTCCCCAGCTCTGCCCGGGGGGGTTGGGGGGGCAGAGGCAGCTGTTAGGGTCGTCCTGCTGGCTCTGCATCCCCCCTCCCCTCTCAAAAGATTCCCAGGCACTTCTGAACCTTCAGCAAAGGGAAAAAAAAAAAAAAAGGCCACCAAGGAAGAGAGTGAAGGACACTGCAGCTTTTCCCTCCCGGACAGCCATAGAAAAGGGAGGAAAAAAAAAAAAAAGAGAGAAAAAGAAAGGAGAAAAAAATAATAATAATGACAAAAACAAATCCATCTCAGACCCCGCGTTTTCCCAGAGGTCTCCGGTGCCTCTCGTTGGTCACACACAAAGCCAACCCGAGGATGCGCTGCCGTCGTGCCACCAGGAGGGGAGACGTGAGCAGGGCTGAGCCCACAGAGCAAAGAGGGAGGTGGGAGAGGGAGAAAGGCGGAGGGAGGAGCTGCGGTTAGGTCGCTATTTGCACCTATAATACAAAGTGAAGAAGAGTTTGTTGGTTTGTTTTTTTCTTTTTTTCTTTCTTTTTTTTTTTCTCTGGAAGTTAAGTCCCCGGCGGATGTAGTTCCATTGCCATCAGGATGGTGGACACGGGTGTCTGGTGGTGGTTTTGAAGCATTAAAAAGTGCAGTTAGAGCTCTCGGGAGGGTTCTGGTTCGGGTGGGTTTCTCGGTGCGCCGTTATGGAGGTGAGGTGTGGTGTGGTGGACGGGGGGTGGAGGTTATATCTTAGCTCTTCCTCGCTCGCGGGCCGCTGCCGAAGGCTGCCCTTCAGTTGCTACAACACTGGCTCTTGTTCTGCTGGGTTTGCTCGTGAAGGTCCACGCCTCTGCTCCTCCCTGCTGCACCACTCGTGCTCTGGGGCTCGCTCTTTGGCAGCTTCTTGGCTGGAGGGGGGAGAGGAGAAGCATCAGCGTGGCTGTTATGGGCTGATCTGCACACTGCCTCTCCCAGTGCTGCTCCAAGGAGGCCAAAGAGCTGCCCTGAGCCCCCACACCACGCTCAAAAGGCATTGGCTCCACATTGCACAGCCCAGCAGGGCAGGATCTGAGGGAACTGCCCACCCCACCCCACCCTGCAGCCTCACCGATGGCCAGGAAGAGGTCGTTCACATTCATCGCTGTCTTGGCCGACGTCTCCATGAACAATAGGCTGTTGTCATCTGCGTAAGCCTGTGCCTCCTGGAAGAGAGCACCCAGGTGAGGGTCCAGCAGCCACGGGGGAGTGCAGGGTGGGCACTGGTGCTGACACTTACTTCGTACTCCACCATACGTTTGCTGGCCAGGTCGGCTTTGTTGCCCGCGAGCGCAATGACGATGCTGGGGCTGGCTTGCCTCTGCAGCTCTTTCACCCATGTTTTTGCCCGTGCAAATGTTTCCTAGGAGCAGAGAGGGGGAGATGTGAGGTTACCACGAGGTGGGCACCCCACAGGGACCTCCAGACCATGGGGTGAACGTGCACTGAGAACCTCACCTGGTTGGTGATATCGTAGACCACGATGGCAGCCTGTGCCCCCCGGTAGTACATGGGGGCCAGGCTGTGGTATCGCTCCTGGCCCGCCGTGTCCCAGATCTCAAACTTCACCGTTGTGTCGTCCAGGCAGACAGACTGTGTGAGGAATGCCGCTGTGGGAGGGAGGAAGATGTGAGCATCACACTGCTGCCCCCAAGCACTTCTGCCCACGACCACCCCAGCCCCACGGGGATCGTATTTACAGGAGAGGGAAGCTGGCGCGAGGCAAAAATGGAGGTGGCAGCTGCAGGAGCGCTGCTCCCAGGCTCTGGTGCACCCTGCAGGCAGTGCCCCTCACCGACTCACCCCCGATGGTGCTCTCCTGGTACTCGTGGAACTGCCCCTTGACGAAGCGCAGCACCAGGCTGGATTTCCCCACCGCTGATTCGCCCAGCAGCACCAGCTTGAACTGACAGATTTTGCTGGCTTGGGACTGCCCATTCGGCCTGGCGGCTCCTCTGCTGGTCATGGCCGGGCTGCTGCTGGGCTCCTGCCCTGCTGAGAGCCTGGAAGGCACCGACGCTGGGAGCGCTGGCCTTGGTTCCACCAGGCAGTCCTGGAAAGGGAGGAAAGCGGTTGGTCACTGCGTGCTGCAGCCAGTAAAATCCCTACAACCAAATGCACACCACTCAGTACAGGGCTGGTGGGCACAGTCACCCCTGGGTGCACAACGAGGACCTGAATGCTCTGCTTCCAGAGCGATTCCCAGGAGCTGGGTGGGAAAAGCGGACCCATGAGTGATGCCCAGGGGAGGCTGCACCCCTGCCAGGACAAGGCTTAGCCTCGTGTCCTGGGCTGCTGCTGTTTGTGCCACAGCACAGAATCCTCAGCTGCTTCACCTCTCCCCACCCAGAGGAGAAGCTGGGAACCAACTCCACAGCTCAGCCTCCAAGTTCCTCAGCCCGAGGTTTTTTTTCTGCTTTCTGTTTTCCCTCGGCACGCACTCAGAGCAGACAGCACAGCGCATCCCATCTGCATCAGGAGCTCCTTCAGCCACAGCACACACTGCTGGGTCACCGTGCAGCCCGAGTCCTTCACCTCCCACACTGGGCCAGCAGGGAAAGCAAGGAAATCTTTTATTTATTTTTTTTAAGGCTCATCTCCCATGCGGCTGTAGGACACAAATGGCTACTGGAGCACAGCCAACAGGGGAAGGCTGTCTGTGCCTGTGCCCCCACGCACGGCTGCAAACGAAGCACCTCCACACAGTGCTGAGTCCATGCCTTGAGCCCACCCAGAGGCCCCACAGCCCCCAGAACCCACAGCCCCCTTGAGCCCACCCACCTTTGCACTTTCACTTGCTGGATGCAGTGCTGCAGCACGCACACCCTACAGCCACCAGCCCCAGGACCACCGGCTGTTCCTGTTACACCAAACCCCTCACCTGAAGAGGCAACCAAGCTGAACTATACACACAGCTACTCCCACCACACCTTCATGTCACAGCCAGCAGCACGCTAAGCGTGACTCAAGGTGTGAAGCAGCCAGCTCTGTAAGCACACGCAGGCCCATAAACCACCAGCAGGCACCGACCGAGGGGCACCGCGCTGCGCCGAGCTTCCCCCAGCACAGAGCAACAGCTGCAGCAGCGACAGCTCCACGTCACACGGGGGTGAATCAGGAGGCAACGTCTCCCATCGCAGGACCCGACCCCACCCCGACCCTACGAGGACACGGAGCCCCTGGGAGCAGCGCCGCCAGCAGCCGCACAGCGCAGCATTGCAACAGCCGCCAGGGCCAACTGCTTTCCTGTTACCAGGCGGACTTCTCCTATGTCCCAACCGCGCTCACACCACCGCCGAGGCGGCTGCGGGACCGGCGACCTCCGGCGGGACAACGAGGGGTCCTTTATAACAGAGCCCACGCCGCCCGGTCCCGGTGCATTCTTCACCCCGGCAGCTCTGCCGGATGCAGCACCGTTTCCATCTGGCACGGCGGGACGCTCGCACTCGTCTCTCAGCCCTCACCGGACCGCCGGGTGCCGCCTGCTCGGTGTCCCCGGGGCGGGGTGGGGGGAGGCCGGGGGCGGCCAACACCGGGCGTTCGCTCTCTCCTTCCCCGCGGCCGGAGCCCCCCGCGCCCGGTTCCCCGCCGGCGCCTCGGAACGGGCGGAGCCGCGGGGAGATCGAATTGGGGAAAACCGGAGGAATTCGGCTCAGTACCGAGAGCCCCTGAGGAGACCGAAGGAACAGAACGGGCCCGGTACCCGCCCGGCCCCGAGCTCCGCCCGCGGGACTCCGGCAGCCCACGTTTCTCCCCGGGCGCTCGGCGCACCGCGGCACAGCGGACCCGGTCCCCGCCCCAGGCCGGGCCCAATCCCAGGCCCAGGCCAGACCCAGTTGTTCCGGTCCTTCTGGGCGAGCCCGGCCCGGCTCCAAGGCCTGCACGCGCAGGAGGCGGCCCGGGACCCGGCCCAGCGCTCGGCCCCGTCCGCAGCCGCCCCGCTCCCGGTACCTGCGGCCCCGGCCTCCCGCTGCGGCCCGAGCACACAAACAGCGCCTCGGCCCAGCCCTCCTCTCGCGGGCGGGATTAAGGCGCGGCTCCGCCAATGGGCGACGCGCGACGGGGCGGCGGGCACGCCTTTTCCTGTCGGCGCAGCCAATGGGAGTGGCGCAGTGTGCGTCACCGCCCCCGCCCCGCGCGAGACGGCCTATGGAAGGCGGCGATTGGACGGATGGGCAGCGAGGCGCCGCCAATGGGAGTAAGGGAACGGTGAGCCAGTGGTCGGCAGGAATGCCGCGGGGAGGCGGGGCCAGAGGTGAATGACGGAGCGTCCGACCAGTGGGAAGCGTCACCGCCTAGGGGGCGTCACCAGGAACAAATAAGGTGACCGAAGGGGGCGGAGCCCTGCAGCAGCAGTGACCAACCGCGGAGCAGAAGAGGCCCAGCCCGGCCAACCCGCGGCTGGCGGCGCGATGAATGACGAAGCGCAGGGCGGTGCCTCGCGGCCATTCACGGGCCGTGTTGCCCATGATTGACAGCCCGTGGAGCTGCGGGGTCGGGCCGATCGCGCGGGGGCCGCCGGGAGCCGCAACCTCTGACCCCCAGCGGCTCTCCTTCACTTTAATGCTGCGGCCGCCGGCGGGGGCGGGGCTAAGCCTGGCCTGGCCAATAGCAGCGCTTCATAGCGCCAGGGGGCGGGGCCTCCAGGGAGGGGGGCCTTGTGCGGACCCTATGGGGCACGGATGGGCCGTGGGGGCGTGGATGGGGGCCAGCGGGACGCAGGGACACGTATGGCCCTACAGGGACCATGTGGCGTGTATGGGTGCTGTAATACGGGCCCTATCGGTATTTCAAGGCATGTGTGGGGCCCCATAGGGATCTGGGGGTGGATATGGGGGAGCCCTATGGGCATAGTGGCCCTACAGATGCACAGGATGATGCTGTGAGAGCGGCAGGCAGGTGACAGAGGACAGACTGCTCCCACCCCACTGTGGAGGGGGCTTATAGGGGTCAGACACCCACCCCACCCCCACATCCCACAGGCACTGCTGGGCAGGAGCTGCACAAAGAGCTTTAAATGTCAACTACAAAATGGCAAAAAAGTTACAAAAGTCAGCGAGGAAAAGCCCGCGGGGGGAAGGGAAGAGGTGGACCCCCACTGCCACCCCCGGGACGGAGGAGAGGGGGACAAAGGGAGGGGGAAGGCTCTGTCCCTCCTGCCCCCCACCTCGCCCCCAGCTGTAAGTGCCCGAGAGCCCAGGCAAAGGGGGGGTCCCCGCCCCGAGCAGTCCTGGGGGCCGGGGGGTCCCAGTGCCCCACTCTGTGCTCGTGCCGTCCGCAGCCAACGTGCCCACCCCCAGCCCAGTGCTCACAGGCGCAGGTGGGGGACAGCCCTGGTGACATCACGGAAGAAGGGATGGCCCAGCGCTGCCTTGGCCGAGATGCGTTTGTTGGGATCGTAGTGCAGCATTTGCTGAAGAGAGGCAGAAGAGGGGACGGTGAGGGGGGGAGGAGCTCCCCATTGCGTCTCCTCTCACTGTTCCCCCCCAGCCCCGTGCTCACCGCCAGCAGCTTGCGGCCCTCCTCATCCAGCGGCGGCACCACCTTGCCCAGATCCTGCCGGGCCCACTTGGGGAAGCTGGGCTTGTAGTCGGGCAGGGCGGTGACGCCGGGCCAGGCGGCCTCATCCGGTGTCCCCAGCGTGCGGAAGATACGGAAGAGCTGATCGATCTCCGAATCCCCGGGGAAGAGCGCGCGCCGCGTCACCTGCACGTGGTGGCACCGGGATCAAACGGCCCCCACCCCGCGTGACCACCTTGTGATGCCGGGTCTGGGCTGGGGGCTCACATGATGCTCCCCCACCCCCACCCCTCCGGCACCCACAGAGCCCCTTTGTGCTTCTGTGCTTGCGGCCGGCCCCGTGTGCAGTGATGTCAGGGCTGAGACAGTGGAATGGAGGCAAACTGGGGCACATCCTGCGTGTCCCCAGCGTGTGATCACAGTGCCCCTTGGTGTCCCTCGGGCCACGTCCTTGGTGACCTCAGAACGTGACCACAGTGTCCCCTCAGTGTCCCCAGGGCACGTCCTTGGTGGCATCCCCAGGATATCCCCAGTGTATCACATAGGTGTCAGTGGGGCAGCTCCTTAGCTCACAGCGTATGGCCACAGTGTCCCCTTGGTGTCCTCAGGGTAACCCCACAGTGCCTCCAGGGCACCCCTCAGTGACCCCAGGTGTCCCCTGGAGTAGCAGCTGCTGTCCCAGGGGGATGCAGCCCCTTCCCCCCCCTCTCCTTGCTCACCATCTCGGCAAAAATGCAGCCCAGGCTCCAGATGTCCACGGCAGTCGAATAGTACTTGCAGCCCAGCAGGATCTCAGGCGCACGGTACCACAACGTCACCACCTGTGGGGTGGGGGGCAGACTTTGGGCACTGAGCCACCCCCACTGCCCGCAGCCCCCCATCCCCGCACCCACCTCGTGCGTGTAGGTGCGCACAGGCACCCCAAAGGCGCGTGCCAGCCCAAAGTCAGCCAGCTTGATGGCACCGTCGGCGTTGATGAGCAGGTTCTGAGGCTTGAGGTCTCGGTGCAGCACGCGGTGCGCGTGGCAGAAGGCCAGGCCTTGCAGCAGCTGGAACAGGTAGCTCTGCAGGGATAGGAGGGGTGGGAGGTCAGCACTGCCCCGTGCCCCCCCGCCACCCCCGCCCCGACCCACCTTGATGAGCGGCAGCGCGATGCCACCCAGGGATGATGCATCCATGAACTTCTTCAGGTCCTGGTGCAGGAACTCAAAGACCAGGTAGAGCTTGTTCTCCGTGTGGATCACATCCAGCAGTCTGAAAGAGGGGTGGCTGAGTGCTAGCATGACCCCCCCCTCAGTGCATCCAGACCCCCCTGTAGCCCCCATACCCCCCTACAGCCCCTGGGCCGCCCGCAGCCTCCAGCTCCTCCGCAGCTCCTCTGCGGCTCTCAATCCCCCCCCCAGCCCCTCAGGCCTTCTGCAGCCCCCAAACACCCCCGCAGCCCCCGGACAACCCCCAGCCAAACCTCCCCGCGCAGCAGGCTGCCAGCAGAGCGTCCCCATAGATTCTCTATACCCCCATCCACGCCCCCCCTCGGTGCCCCCCCCTCACTTGACGATGTTGGGGTGGTTGAGCTCCTTCAGCAGCGAGATCTCTCGGATGGCCGTGCTGGGGACGCCCTCGGTTTCCCTGGGGGAGGAACGGGTTGAGCCCTTCCCGGTGCCCCCGCCGCCCCCCCCGCCGCCCCCCGCCCGCTCACGTGTCCAGCCGGATCTTCTTCAGCGCCACCACCTCGCCCGTGACCTTGTTCCGGGCCTTGTACACGACGCCGTACGTGCCCTCCCCGATCTTCTCCACCTTCTGGAAGTTCTCCATTGGGTGGGGGGGCGGCCCCGGGCGGTGGGGGCGCGGCCCGGGGTTGGGGTGTCCCGGGGTCCCGGGCCGGGCACGGAACGATCGCGGCCGCCGCTTTTCCCCGGCGCGCCACAACCCCGGGGCCCCGCCCGCGCCGCTTCCCGCCGGCCGCTGGCCACGCCCCCCGCGGCCTCCCATTGGCCGAGCCCGCGGCCAGGCGGGGTGCGGCGCGGGAGATCTCTTAAAGCGACAGGCGCGGGGCGGGCGCCGCTCGGCCCACGCGTGGAGCGTTCGCGGGTGCTGTGAGCGCCTCCCCGCGCCCCTTCTTTCCCCGTAACACCGACGGGAGAGCAGCCGCCGTGACTGCGGTAGCAGGCCCTGAGCCCGGGTTGTTATCGGGCCGCGGTGCTGTGGATTCAGTGCTACTCACGGTGCTCCCAGGCAAACGGTCCCACGGACGCCCTCCCCGCGGCCATGCTGTCACGCACGCAGCCCCACGCACGGGGTCCCCACAGCCGCGGCGTTCGTACGTGGCCTCACAAACGTTGTGTCCCCACGGGGTTCCCGTGCACACAAGCGCAGCGCTTTGAGGCCCCATGTGTGCATCCTGCCAGCCACAGCCACCAGTGCTGACGTGGGCTGGGGGTCTGCAGCGCCGCGCTGCTGCTGGGGGTCCGTGGGTGGGCGCAGTATGGGCCTCCCCCTGTGAATGTGTGGCACCCCAAGGGGGTCCCAGGGTCGCACCCATAACCCGGCTCCCCGCGGCACCCGGTGCACGGACCAGGCGCTGCTGTGCTGTGAGCGGGGGGCAGCGGCTGTGCTGAGCCCCTGGCGGGGGTCTCACACACCCCGAACCCACCGGCTCCGAGCTGAGCAAGGGCAGCCGTGTGACCGTAGCCATGTGCGCGCACACATGCCCACACGTGCGCGCACGTGCCCACCCGCAGGCCCTCCCCAGGGCCGCCCCTCGGGGTGGGGCTATGTAAAGACGGTCCCTTCTTATCCCCCCGCAGCCGCTGCCTTCGCCTCTCCCGGAGCCGGAGCATCAAGGATCATGCGGTTGCAAGGGGCCATCGTGCTGCTGGCGGCACTGCTGGCCCTAACCACGGCGCAGCAGCGTAAGTGAGGCTGCGGGGGGGGGATCTTCAGGCAACCGGGGTACGTGAGGGGTGGTCCTGGCTGTGAGCTGCCCGTGGGCTTCGTGGGGCAGCCGTGGGTCACCTGTGGGACACCAAATGGGGACGGGTTGGGGGTGGATGGTGGCATTGAGTCTCCCAGAGCAGGGTTGGACTTTGGACTCGGTGTGGGCTCTGCGGTGGGTGCGGGCCCCCCCAGCACCGGGCTCAACCCATCCCGCGTTATGGGGAGTCCCCAGCACAAGGAGGGAGCAGCGTCTCCGTTGCTTCGAGCACACGGGGGCCCCACGGTGACCCCCATCCGTCTGTGCACGGGCGATGCCGTGGGATCCCGTGGGGACTGCAGTCAGTGGGGCAGAGAAGGGACACGGGGGGAGCGCTCACCCCGTCCAGCCCCCGCTGCAGCTCAGCTGAGCGTCACATGAAACGGCTTTGGGCAGCGCCATGTGATGGGCTTTGCCCCGCGCCGCAGCCTGAGCCCATCACGTGTTTCTGGGGCTGTGCGGGGGGTCCCAGCGCGGTGCCATCGCATCCCTGTCCCTTTTCCCGCAGGAGGCGGTGGCCGGAGCCGCGGTGGCTTTCAGGGTCCGGTGTGGGCTGGCCGCCCGGCGCCGTTCCGGAGCTGGGACGCAGCGCGGTACCGCCCGTGGCAGGAGGGGAGAGCGCAGCAAAGCGACTGTTGGCGAGGTGAGCGCGGGGACGCACAGACACGGGGACAGACGGCCGCGGCGCCGCTCCCTGAGCCGCTGTCCTCGTGCCTGACAGGAGGCGACGTCACCTTCGACATCAGCAACGACGCTCCCACCATGGCGGGTGCCAGGGCCACCTTCTCCATCGCGCTGCGCTTCCCCAGCACGCAGACGGCGCTGCCCGACGGCCGCGTGGTGTGGAGCCAGAACTGCACCGTCAATGGTGGGCACGGCCGGGGGCACGGCTGGAGGCGCGGCTGGGGGCGCAGCAACGCCTCGCTCATGGCTGCTCCCTGCAGGCACCCGCGTGGTGCAGGGGGACCCGGTGTTCCCGGAGCAGCTGGCCGAGGGCTCGGATGGCGTCTTCCCCGATGGGCAGCCCTTTCCCCGCAGCGCTTGGGACAAACGTGGGAAATTCGTCTACGTCTGGTGGACATGGGGTGAGGACGGCTCTGCGCTGTGTTCCCAGCACTGCTGGGATGTCCCCGTGCCTGACTGCGGTGCCCCCGCAGGGCGTTACTGGCAGGTGGTGGACGGAGCGGCGTCGCAGCTGACGGTGGGGACGGACGGGGTGGCCCTGGGCTCCTACACCATGGAGGTGGTGGTTTATCACTACCGTGGCAGCCAGAAGTTCATCCCCATCGGCCAAGCCAGCACGCAGTTCAGCATCACAGGTACGTGGCAGCGGGGTGGACAGGCTGGCAGCGGGCACGGTGTCCCCACGCTGATGTCCCTGCGTCCCCCAGACCAGGTGCCCATGGCGGTGGATGTGACACAGCTGGAGGTGGCAGCGGGGGACGGCAGGAGCTTTGTGCTCAACCGCCCCGTGGCCTTCAGCGTGCGGCTGCACGACCCCAGCCATTACCTGCGTGATGCTGACATCTCCTACTCGTGGGACTTCGGGGACCAGAGCGGCACGCTCATCTCCCGCAGCCGCACTGTCACCCACACCTACCTGCAGGCTGGTTCCTTTGCTGCCCGCCTGGTGCTGCAGGCGGCCATCCCGCTCAGCTCCTGCGGCTCCTCCACGCCCCCTGTTGTGGATCCCACCACCGGGCCGCTGCCCTCCTTGGGACCCACGGCCACGCAGCCTGAGGAGCCCACGGGATCTGGCACCGCCGCGGAACCTGGCACCCCCACGGGATCCAGCACTGCTGCAGCACCCGGAACCACCGAGGCACCCGGCACTGCTGCAGCACCCGCAGCCTCTGGAGCACCAGCAGAATCCACGGGGGTCTCAGAAGCTGTGCCCTCAGACAGCGCTGCCACTGAGCCCAACCCTGACCCGGTGCTCAGCACTGCAGTGGCCGATGCAGCAGCCGGTACAGACCCCACTGCAGACCCCCTGCCCCCCACCTCAGTGTCCTCAGCTGGGGATGCTCTGGGCACTGTGGCCCCCACAGCAGTGGAGGGAAGCGTGGCAGCAGGTGGGTTCTGTTCCCATGGGGTACAGGGAGATGGGCTTTGGGCTGAGGGGTCCTGCGAGGGAACGGTTGGGTCCCTCCAAACCTATTTCCATCTGCTTCTTTGCATGGGACTGCTGCAGGTGTGGAGACAGCAGGGGACGTGTCTGCAGCCACCCCTGGAGCCACTGCTGTGGACACAGCTGTGGACACAGCTGGAGCCACGGATGGGGTCGCAGTTGAACCCACAGCTGCAGCTACAGCTGAATCCATAGCAGACCCCACAGCTGGAGCCACAGCTGTATCCTCTGGCAGCGCCACAGCTGGAGCCACAGCGGAGCCGCTGCTGCTGGTGAAGCGCCAGGCGCCCGAGGCTGAGCCCACCGGCTGCGTCCTGTACCGCTATGGCACCTTCTCCACTGAGCTCAACATCGTCCGTGAGCACCGGGCTGAGGGGCCGGGGAGGGGGTTCAAGGGGGTCCAGCCTTCATCTGACACCCCATCCCCTCACAGAGGGCATCGAGAGCGTGGCCATCGTGCAGGTGGTGCCCGCGGCGTCTGAAGGCAGCGGAAACAGCATGGAGCTGACAGTGACGTGCGAGGGGAGGTGAGGAAAGCTGGGCACGGTGCACCAGAGATGGGAGCAGATGGGGACGGTGCACGGGGTCGGGGACGCTGGGAGCCCACGGGCTGGAGCAAGGCAGGACATGGGGATGGCAGTGGAGGCTGGGGGGTCCTGGGAGCGCACTGATTTTCCCCCCCAGCCTTCCCGAGGAGGTGTGCACCGTGGTGGCGGACGCCGAGTGCCGCACAGCGCAGACTCAGACGTGCTCAGCCGTGGCACCGGCGCCGGGCTGCCAGCTGGTGCTGCGCCAGGACTTCAACCAGTCCGGCCTCTACTGCCTCAACGTCTCGTTGGCCAACGGCAACAGCTTGGCTGTGGCCAGCACCCGTGTGGCTGTTGGAGGTAGGAGAGGGATGGGGGGTGGGAGGGGAAGGGGAAGGGGAGTTGTGGGGGTGCTGAGCTGCCTCTGCCCCCCCAGGAACCTCCCCAGCTGCCAGCGGCACCACGCTCACCGTGGGGCTGCTGCTCATTGCTGCTGCACTGGGCACTGCTGCCTACACCTACCGGTGAGCGGGTGGGAGGACCGGGACGTGGGGGGGGTGGGGAGGGACGTGGGGAGAACACAGCACTCACCCCCTCCCCCCTCTGCTTGCAGCCGTGTGAAGTACAGCCCCCTGCTGCCCGCAGCCCCCCCAGCTTCCAGGCCCCACAGCTGGCTGCCCCCTGGTGCTGCCCTGCGTCTGCTGCTGCGCCAGGCTTTTGGGGGGGCTCCCAGTGGAGAAAGCAGCCCCCTGCTGCGTGCCAACACTGTCTAAGGGGGGGAGTCTGCATCCAACCCCCCAGTACAGAGCCCCCTGCCTGGCCCGAGCCCCCAGGAACTGGGGGGGGATGTGTGTACCGGCTGCTAATAAAGACTCAGCTCAGCTGTGCTCCGTCTGTTTGCATGGGGGGGGAAGGGGGGGCCCAGCCGCCAGCTTTATTTACTATAAGAGGCACTTGAAACGCGGGGGTTGGGTGTAATAAATAGGCATGGGTGTGGGGGGGGCCTAGCAGGGTGGGGACTCCAGCCTCTCCTCCCACCCCCCCCGTGGGGGGACCCATCCCTGGGTGCGCAGGGGAGGAGGGGAAGGACAGAAGGGCCCTGCCCAGTGCTGGGGGGGGTGGGGAGGGTCCGGTCCCCTTTAGCCCTCCATAGAGCCCTTCTTGAGGCTGAAGAAGCTGGAGGAGCGGGGTGGGGGGGCCATCAGCATGGGTGCCTGGTTCTTGTGGGTGATCTTGATCTGTAACAGAGGATGAGAGTGGGGGGGGAGGCAACATGGGGAGGGCACAGAACCGCTAGGGGGATCCAGGGGAACTAAGAACCCCCCATCCGGCATGGGGACACGTACAGTGCAGGGTGGCTGCATCCAGGGCTCTCCATCAATCTGCATGGGGAGGGCTTTCAGCGTCCTGCAACGGCAGCCCCCTTACAGTTCACCCACAGCCCTTGAGGGGGGGGCACAACCTCCCCCCCACCCCAGGGCTCACCGCAGGGTGATCTCGGAGCACTTGGCCAGCCGCGTTCCTGCGCTCTTCAGCCCGGTGTAGATCTGCCCCATTTCCAGCACTCCCTCCAGCCCCACAACTTCCAACCTCTGGTCGCTCAGGTCTAAAGGGGAGGGGTTGAGGAGGGGGAGGGGTTGAGGAGGGGTCAGGACGGTGCCAGCCTCGAGGGGGGGGTTGGTTCCTCACCCCCACCCCACGCACCCTGCACGCAGGTCTTGAGCGTTTCGGCGTCGGTGATGGCCGGGGGCTGCGCGGCACCGGGCGGCCGCCTCGCCTCCCCCAGGGGGCGCTTGGTCTCACCCCACAGGTTGGAGCCTCCGTGCATGCTGGGGATGTTGAGCACGGCAACCCCCGCCAGCGCACCCCGCAGCTCCAGGGGGGTCCCGCAGCACTGAGGAGGGGGGGCAGGGTCAGGGCAGAGCGCCGAGGGGGGGGGCACAGGGATGCAGGGATGAGGCGCACCTCGATGCTCAGGCACTCCTTGAGCTTCTTGCAGGTGGCAAAGAGCGTCTCGGAGGTGGCAAACTCCAGGTACCAGAGTTTGTTCTTCATCCTTGGGGGGGGAGCACGGCGTGGTGGGGATGTGGGGACGCACAATGGGGTCACAGGGATGCGGCCTGGGGGCGGCACTCACCTGCTGTTGAACTTCTCAGGGTATTTCTCCCGCATGACGTGGAAGCGGTGCGCGATGGAGGCATCCTGCGGGGGGGAGATGGGCATAGAGTGTGGAGGGGTGAAACCTGGCCATGCTGCGCCTCCCCCTCCCCGGCAGCTCCCAGCCCCACACACCACCCCAATGGAGAAGTAGTTGTTGACGATCTCGTAGGGCACGGGGTCACCAGCCTCGGTGGGGCAGGTGGGCAGCACCCGCAGGTGCCAGCGGTCCATCTGCACCACGCTGCTGCCCTCGATGTCCTTCAGGATCTTCACCAGGTTCTCCCCATCGTAGCCTGTGGACGGTGTTGGGGGAGACACCGGGATCAGAAGGGAGGCTGGAGGGGTGGGAGGGGGATATTGGACTGCCCACTTCTCACACCCCACTGCTCACCTCCACCCCAGCGCAGGCACCGCGCCAGGTCGTTGCCGGTGCCCAGGGGCAGAACGGCCACAGGGGGTCGTCGGGGAAGGTTGGCTTTGTCTGCAGGGAGAAGTGCAGTGAGGGGGGGGGGGGGGGGGGTGCAGACCCACCAATGGCATCCAGGATCCATCCCACGGTGCCGTCCCCGCCGCACACCAGGATGCGGAAATCTGGCACGTCCCGAAAGAAATTGAGCCTGGGGAGGAGAAGGGAAGGGAAGAAAAGGAGGGAGGGAGGTCAGGGCTGGTTGCCCCCCTCCCAGCACTTACCACACCCCCGTTCCCCCCTTACCCTGGGTTGGGTCCTCCTTGCTGCAGGTTGTAGACCTGCCGGGGGTTCAGCAGGTACTGGAACTTCCGGAGCACTCTGCAGGAGAAGGGAAGGTGGGCTGGGGGGGTCCAACCCCCACCTCCCCCTAAATTTGTGTGTGTGGAAGAAGATCCCACAGTGTGCCTGGCGCCTGCCCAGCCCCTCACCTCTTTCCCTGCTTCCCTCCGCTCTTGGGGTTGACGAAGACGAGGAGTGGGTGGGTGTCGGGCACAGGGCTGACCTGTGGGTTTGG